TTCGCAAAAACACAAATCAAGTATCTAGGTCATATTATAGGAGATGGTAGACATGAACCAGATCCTGAAAAGCTTCTTGCTATTGAAATTATCGAAACACCTAAAACCAAGTCAGCTTTAAAAAGTGCGTTAGGTCTCTTCAATTATTACAGAAATTATATAAAAAACTATGCTGAGATAGCAAAACCATTGACGGATTTAACCAAAAAGAAAGTTCCAGAGCTTATTCCTTGGACTGACATAGAGGAATTATCATTCCAAAAACTAAAGAAAAAGTTGAGTGAAGCTCCTTCCCTTTATACTCCAGATCCAAAAAAACCTTATGTTATACAGTGTGATGCAAGTTCCTATGGTGTTGGTGCTTGTTTATCCCAAAGAGATGATAACGGTCAACTTTGCCCAATCAGTTTTGCTAGCCAAAAACTGAACAAAGTGCAGCAAAACTGGGCTACTATTGAACGTGAAGCGTATGCTGTAGTATGGTCGATCAAAAAGTTTGAAAATTACGTGTTTGGTGCGAATATTGATATTATAACTGATCATAATCCTCTAATATTTTTACAGAAGTCAGCACCACAATCTGCTAAGTTGCAACGGTGGGCTTTAGCTCTCCAAAGGTACAATATTCACATCACACACTGCCCAGGTGCTCAATTAAAAAATGCTGATGGTCTATCAAGACTAGTAAGTGATTGAATGTTGGTGTGTTTATTAGAAAACAAACTAACATATATAATAATCTGTTTTATAACTAGGCTTCTTTTCATCTGTAAATATACATAATTCAATTGAAATTTAATTTTCATGGTAATATCGAATCTATTGTATCAAGGTTTCTTTTCATCTGTAGTTATATAGAAATATATACCAGTTTTATATAAATTTGATTTGTACATAGTAATTGTATATATGATGCGTTATAACCAAGCAACTATACATCTGTCATATTTCTACTATTTTCATCTGCGTTTTGCATATTTTATGTGTAAGTAATTGTAACAAGTGTTCTATTCATCTGTTTTATTTATAATTAAGTGTTAAATATATTTTTGTATATATATATATATTATCCTATAGTGTGGATCAGATTTCGCTATACCAGGTGTAGCGCAATCTTGTCGGGGGGGTGTCATGCCTCCATGTTGCGATGGCGCTGTCAGCAAATGTAGATGTTGTAAATAAAGGTCGAGAGTTCGCACGTAGCGGCTGGAAAGAAAAGACGTTCTTTTGTTGGTCTAATTATTTATTTGGACAGTATGATATCACACCCAATTTGGACAAGATAAAGTTTCCGAGTTAAAGTTGCTACAAGCAATTTGTTTCCCTGTTTAATTAATCATTCCAAACGAGATTGTGCATATCAGTATATTTTGGAGGGAAAAAATATACATATGCCGTTCTAGAAACTAAACAAGAATGAATGATCTGAATGAGAGAATTTTTACTCTCAAAATTTTAGAGAGTAATAACTCTTAAGAGCCAATGTGTTTAATTTAATGAAACAGACATTCAATAATCATTTCAAGCGCTTAAAGAAGAACAACAATAAGAACGAAACATTTCCATGCCAAATAATTTGTTATATGTGTGCCTTTATATTTGATAATTTTTATCTGAAAATAAATAATTCATTGTTTTACAAGCGGATATGAGTAAGTAAAAACAGTTTTTGAAAAATTCACGACTCATTCTCTTAAGATCTAAAGAGAGTAATATTTTTAAAAAATCAATACATTTACCTTAGTGAATCAAAGAATAAATTACTTAGTCAATTCTTTATAAAAGAAAATGTAAGAAATAGTTTTAATACCAAATAATATTTTGCATAAAGATATGAATTGATGAATAAATTAATGAATAACTTATCTTGAATGATACGTATGTAATAATTAATGCTTAAGCTCATATTGATTTGATCGTTTATCGTTACAAATAACTTTAACGCATTTTTAAGCACAAATAAGAGCATTAATTTTAGTATTAATCTTAATAAATTCACACCATCAATAGTTTAACAAAATAATTATTAGTTTTAATAATAATTATCAAAAAAATAATTATTCAAGAAAAGTTAACCATCCAAAAGTAGAAAAATATATGTATTTAATTTTTCCTTCAAAACTAAACAAACTAATGTACTCATAGACGGAAAAAAAGGAATTGATGGTATTTTTTTAATCATATATTATTTGCTTGAATGATTCGCTTTGTAATTTCATTTAATAGTACGGGTAACATAATTATGCTTGTTTTAAAATGGAATATTACCAATCTTAAAAAAGAAAATTGTCTTGTTTTACGCTTAAACATGGGTGAATGTGAACATAAAGTAATATGATCGTTTCAGATACATCTTAATTTGGATATGATGTAGGGATATTTATCCCAGAAAAATGAATAAAATCGTTTAGGAAAAATTGCTTTATTATGCAAAATTTAAATTGAACATGGCCATATTCTAAAATTAAAAAAGTAAAGAAAAGAAGTCCCTCAAAGGAATCAATAAAATCATTCTTTTTATATAAGGAATATTTTGTAAAGACAAAAATTCGACGGTTGAGACAAGGAGGCCGGAACCTTCAGTCCAATCGCCAATAATTTGAAATTAAAAGTAAATGAATTGTTCCCTACAGACGGTTAGGAGCATCAGAAATGATCCATGGTTGGTTTTTTATCGAAATATAACATAGCCAAAAATTAAGCCAACCCCCATAATCAATATTAAATTTGAAAAAAATTTGGCGAAAGCGAATCGCCAAAAAGTCTGTGAGAATTAGTATAACATTTAAGTGAAAAAAAATTTGTGGTAGGAGATAAAGAATAAAGGGTAATAAATAGATTTTTAATTATGATTTAGTCGCGGCAGGGAATTGATGAGTCTTACATTAGTATTGAAATAAAAAGTTAGCCGTTGCATTAATTGTTAAGAAAAGATTAAAATATTTATTATTCGCGTTTTGTAAAATGTAATAAAAATTTAATAATGGGTTTTAATTTAAGAAATTCGATTAAGAATGATTAAAAAAATAAGTTTAAGAATCTTTTAAAGGCTAGAAAATATGTAATGTGTATTGGGGCATCATACTACTGTTAACATATAAATTATTATTTTGCTAAAGAAATGAAACCCATAGAAAAGAGTCACTGGTTCAGATCCAATTTGAGTCATTGCAGTGAATTTTAATTATAATAAAAATGTTTAAAGACTTATTTGCTGCTTAAGTTTCATTATTTGGTTCATTTATAAGCAAGAATGCGCAAATTGAAGTCCTAGTTGACTGTTGCAGTATGAAATGTTTGTGTAAAAAAATGGAAAATATACAAAAGAAAGTTATTTTTTTCTTTTTATTTTTGAAAACGCAAAGTATTTCATTATACTGCCGGACCCCGGTTTTACGTTGTCCGTTATCCCGCTTCCCACGTCATTTTCTGCTAGTCCGTGAAAATTTCCTCTATCGATAATGCTATATTATCTTAGATTTTACGTTACACTTTTTACGAAAATCCCGCTTAGTATGTTTTTCTAAAAGATGAAAAAAAATTTTTTTCCTACAAAGCTCTCTCGACATTTCCAGAGTTTTTTTTTTCTTTTTTTTTTTTTTTACAGGAAAAAAATGAGATTTGTTTATTAATGTTTGAAGTGGTTCTAACATCCTTTCTATCTTATTGTCGTTTTGTCAGTAAAAGAAGAGTTTCTCCTTGAGTAAAAATCGAAGGTTGATGGCATGGGCAAAGCACAGAAAGGAAGGTTAAAAAAAGAATGGGTGCTTAAATTGTAAAATTCGCGAGGGGAATTTTTTCCAGCAAGCTTCAACTTTTGAATTTTAGAATAATCCAATCTTTCAAAGAACGTTACACTAAATAAGTGGTTAGGTAATTATATCTTTTTCTTGATTTTGGTGACAAGCAAGATGTTTCTCAAACAAAAATAAATGATCTAAAAGCTTTGCATTAGGTTTCTATAACGTAGGACAGTGTCAACTAAAATGCACTACAAATGGTTTCAATAAAGCTGGCTTCACAGTATCCAACGGAAACATTAGCCGAAATAAAATTGCATGAAAGAAGATTTTCCGAAGTTGATGACGCACACATCAACAGCAGCAAACACCCCATGACTTTTTAATTTCTTAAATATCTGTTTAAATGCATGCTTCCTATGATAGTGATGAAAAAGCTGAGGATGAGTAGAAATATTTCGAAGGATATACCCACAAATGATTAATAGGTTCAAAACAAAATAACATATACCAAAAAGTACATATACCAAAAAGAAGATTTGTGAACAATAATAAATATTAGGAGGGATTTTGTTGAAATTATATCTAAAAACAAGTAAAGCATATACATTTTTTCCAATAGTTCATCTCCATCTCTTAATTGTCAGTTTCAGTTAAATGATCTGCAATTTTTCTCGCATCGCTTCTCGCTTCTTGGATTTTTTAAAATTAGTCCGACGGAAAATGCACAGTTGTGATTCCACTGTATATATATATATATATTTTAGGAAAAATTGCTTTATTANTAAATTGGCAGTAAAAACGCTAGATAAGTGGAAATTCTATTTCAGCATGATTCGAACTTAAAAAAGCTAATATTATATATATATATATATATATATACTTGTCAAAAAAGGAGAAAAAAGACAAATATGCACTACAAAGGCTTAAACTAAATTCAGGAAATGAAAAAATAAAAACAATATAAAAACCTAACAAATGAATATTACGAAAAGCGATTGCACAGGACAACCAAACTGGTTCGATTGCGGGAGAAGAGAACAGAAGAAATTAGAAAGACAACAATCGGAAATACTTCCATTCTTCAATGATAATCAGACAAATTTCAAAGTTCTCTTCGTCTGCATTACTTAATAATGTTTTGTCAGTTTTCTACTGTGGTTTGATGTTAAATACTAATTTACAGTCTTTCAAGCGTATGCTTTTATTTTTCAAGGATTATAATGAATATTAAATGAGGTCTTTATCGAACACGCAGTTTATAAAATTCATTTATATGGTTCAATTTATGATTTCATAATCGATATTAAGTTCATTATATCATCATCAAATGCAAGTGACGGTAGCTTGCGTATTTTCAGATTCAGATAAAGTATTCTAGTTCCAGAAAGTAAACTATATGAAGAACCAAAACTATTCCAACACACAAGTTTCAAATTGCACACAACTTTTTGCTTTTGTGGCGTAAACTTTTCCTATAAAACTGAAATAAATAGATAAGGCAATGTCAGCAGATTTTTTGACTGATACCAGAAACCTATTTCCTCAAAGAAAACCTTTCGAGAAAAAATTTATTTCTTTTGCATCCGGTATCATTTCGTTTTATCCCTCTTCAGAAACTTCGCAGTTTGAATTTCAAATCAGGATCTTCAAGTTCCAATCTCCTCCGGACATAGTTGAAATCTATTTTATTATTCACTAAAATACTTCAAACTTAAAGCTTTACTGCATTTAAAGTCAGACAAGCGGCTGTGAAGTGTACACTGTCGTGTTCAAAATTTTAACATCTGTGGAACATTTATATATTTTAAGACACTTAAATATAATATAGTGGTTTCGTTTTATGTTATTTTAATCCTAAATAACTGTTTTAGGGGAAAAATCTAAGAAATACTTAGAGGAATAGAATCTTTTAAATTTATTATTTTTTCTTACGACTGAAATGGAATAGTGTAG